AAAAAAAAAATCTTATCCTCTGGACACACGGGAGTTACTCGGTTTGCAGCCGCAGTGTGTTTGCTCTGGAGGAAAACTCCTAACGCTGATAACGCAGCCCCCCGCGTCGGGCTCCTCAGGGTGCTTATTCTGCCCCACGCTGCAGGAAAATCTTTCTGAGTGCTTTGCTCTCTGTGGTCCTTTCCTTTGGAGCTTTGGAGCCTTTTTGCACCTGTTAATTCAGCTTTGTCGGAGGGGGATAGAATACCAATTTTCTGTATTAACAGATAAGGGAAACTGAGGCTGGGATGTGCTGGGAATCGCTCAGCATCAGCCAGCAGGTCTGATACAGCCGGGGATAGTAGATGTGACTGACAGATCCTTGTTCTAAAATTGTAACTTACCTGAAATTTTTAATAAAATGAACAGCTTGTTACATTTCTGTATCACCTCTTTTTCTGGAGACTCTGCACTTCACGTTTTGTGTAGCCGAGACTCTCTCCTCTCTAGATGTGGAAGGCGAGTAGTGGTGTAGTTGGAAAAGGGGTAATAGCAAAGCGCGTCATTTACTTGCACCTTCTTTGAAGAAAAGCTGTTGTAACCTGTAGCTGTGAAGCTTCTTGTTTTCCCTGAATCCCATATGAATGCATCGCTTTCCTGTTGTCTTGAAGCGTAAGCGCCGGCCTGGTTTAACACTGTTTCTCTGGTGTTGATCAGCCACGATTGGCTTTGGCTGGAGTCTCCCTTTTTTATTACATCCCTCTTGGTGAGTATATAAGGGTTTGTTTGTTTGTTTGTTTTTTAAAAAAAACCTAAACCACTTTTGATGAAGGCTGCTTTCAACCAGTAAACTCATATTTATCGTTGCTTCTGTGCGGGGCCAGTACAAGTGTCAGGACAACTGAGATTCGCAGTTAAATATTGCCCATGTGCTGTACTGAAGTTACACGATTGAGGAATAAATTAGCAGCAGCCGAGTCGTCTTCCCTCGATGCAGCGCATGGGGATGCCCGCTTACCCGACGGTCTCAGCAGAGTCAGGGCCTGGCTGATATTTCTATAATAGATGTTTTTCTTCTTCTTTTTTTTTTTTTTCTTTTGCACGTTAAAAGAAAAAATAATCAGGATTTAATCGTGGCAGAAATGCAGCTGGGCAGAGCGGAGCATGGCAGCTGTTGAACAATGCCCAGCCACTGCACAAAGGTTTGGGGCAGCAGACTGCTGGAACTGTATCCTATTGAAATTGCAGATTAAGTTACTGCAAACGCACAGGATTGCTTCCCTCTGGGCCTGCAGTTCTGCTGCCAAATTGGTTTAATATGACAACTTGTTTGTGCGTGAAACACTTAGAACTGGAAGAGACGTAGCAGTGGAGAGCAAAAGTAAATACCGTGGGGAAGAAGCCTGCGTGGAGCATGGGAGGGATGGCTGCTCTGCCTTGGGTGAAGACCTGGCTTGGTGCTTTTCCTTAAATGTGGTTGGTGTCACACGCACCTTGGGGGCCCTGGTGACCGGACAGGTAGCTTGGGTTGGATCCTGATAAGAAATCTCGGCACCGTATAGCTGGAGAACTGTGGGTTTAAGTTGCTGTGAGACACGGATGGCCCCAAAAGGCAGACTTTTGAGGTTCTGCGGGAGCAGTTGCATTTGAAAACTTGCCTACAAATGAAGGCTTGACGCTGATGGGAGCAGGAGCGGTGGCGCGTGCGTCGAGCCGTGGCACGGAGGTGACGTGAGGCTCTCTGTGTGTCTCAGGGAAAGGTCTCTCAGCCTGGTCGAGCATTCAGCTCACAGACGGACAAGAGACTCCCCAGTTCTTACAGGGCTGTTTGCTAATGCTGCTCCTGAGCTTTCCCTGCTTTGCACGCCGGATCTCGCTCTGTGCTGCCGTGTTGGGTTCGCAAGCAATGTTTCAGATCGTGTCCTGCAGGTTGGATCGTCTTTGCTTGGGTTTCCTCCCCGCTCTTAACGCTCTGTGGCTCCTTCTCCTGTCCCAAGCATCTGCCTGCAGCACCGGGAGCAGACCCCGCTGCTTTGGAGGAAGGCGTTGCAGTCTTGTTAACGAAATCTGAAAATGATTTGTGATTATGGAGATTTCAGGGGCTTGGAAGTCCCGCCGAGTGCCATGGGATGTGCCTGGGAGATGATAGGCAGGGTAAAACTACTCTGTGCCAGTCCTGTTCTAGCCATCTGGGTTGGGCTCTTCCCCCAAAGCCCAGCGCGAGGTTGTAAAACTCCACTTGCTTTGGACGCTCCATGGCCTGAACTGTTACTGGGATTTTTTTGCCACAAAAAGTTAACTAATGATGTTACCAGCTGTTATTCCTTGTTGATATCTAGTTTACTTTTTTTGGTAGTTTTTTTATCTAGAATACTCAGTAGAAGAAAATTTAGTATTTCCTAAAACTTAGTATAATTGAAGCAAGCAGAAACGGGCAGTTCTACAAGGGCAATGGTTTTTTTTAAAATAATATCCCACAAACCTGTAACACCACTTATTACTGCAAAGTTTTTCCTTCCTCTGCCCCATTTTGAAGGCAAGAAGGGACAAGGGGAAGTAGCTGACATACGTGTCTGATGCTCTGAGATGTTCTGCTCTCAAAATTAAGTTTCTTTACAGCTTTTTTTCGAGCATTTCTTGCATCAGTTGTTCGCCACAGCCTCTTATAGCCCAGGTCGTGGCAGATCCGTGCCTGCTCCCACACTTGTGTTTTAGCAGCGAGTCGTTGAACCCTTTACCCCCCAAGTACTTCTGTTCCTGAGTCCCAGTTGCTCCCACCTGGATGCAGGTGATGTTTCATGTGGAGCGCTCCGCCACGGTAGCGGTGGGGAAACCTCGAGAAGTACAAGTGGCCTTTTTGTCTTGGGGGCACGTGGAAACGGCAAGCTGGCCTGCCGCGGCTTTTGGGGAGGCGGCGGGGAGGGTGGGAGCCTGCAACGGCTTTCCTGGCTGCCTTGCCCACGCGATCATTCAGTCTTAGTGCTGCCTTTTGTTTTTGGTTTCTAACAGTCTGTTCTCTCTTTTCCCCTGACCCACCACAGAGTTCTACCTTGTAAATACTGTTATTTGTATATACTGTAAATGATGACATCGGTGGGCACTAACCGAGCCCGGGGGAACTGGGAGCAGACACAGACACAGAGCCAGACACAGCACAAGCAGCGGCCGCAGGTAAGGGCAGCGTCCATGGAAACCAGCTAGTTTGGAGGTGGAGACCTGGCACTCTTGCCTGGCCCAGCGCTAACGGTTGGGCTTGGCCTAACGAGCTTCCCCGCGTGCTGCAGGGTGCTGCTTGCAGAGCCAGGTTAATTGGGCGGCCACTGACAGTGGGGTTTCCGCATCAGTGTCTCCGAGCGGGAGCCAGAGCTGAGATTTGGGTTTACTTCCATCTGACCGTTCCCCGATCACTTTTAACCAAGGCGGGTGGCTGAGAAGCCGCTTGCAGTGGGTCTCGACGTTCTGGTGGTGGTAAGGTCTGCCTCAAAACGGACATAGTTTAGGTGATTGTCGGCCACCTGGTGCCGTGAGACAATCCAGTGGTACTTCCCTTTCTTCCAGGCTCCACTTGCTTGCTTCTTTTCCGTCTGTCTTTTTCTCTGAAGCTTTCTTCTTTCTGACCCTTGTTTGCGCCTCCTCTTCGTCACATTGATTCCTTTCCAGAGATCTCAGGGAAGAGTTAATGGCCTTTCGAGGAAGGTTTGTAGGAAATGCGCCGCTCTAACTGCGCACTCTCTCTCTGCATTTGATATCTTTAGGCCACTGCGGAACAGATTCGACTTGCACAGATGATTTCGGACCATAACGACGCTGACTTTGAGGAGAAGGTGAAACAAGTGAGTGTGGAAAGCGAGGGTGAACTCTGACGGGACGATCGATGTCGAGAATACTGTGAATGCTGGGGGGTGGGGTGGGAGGGATGCGACTAGCTGCTTCCTGAATTTCCTTGGACTGGCTTGTTCCCCAGAACACATGGAATTATAGAATCATTAAGGTTGGAAAAGACCTCTAAGATCAAGTCCAACCATCAACCCAACACCACCATGTCTACTAAACCATGTCCTGAAGTGCCACGTCTACGTATTTTTTGAAC